TCTGTGCATTCAGGAAACCCTTTTGGTGTCAGCAGTTATCATTAGGGGCTATAAGACAGTATGGCGAGTCAATGCTCACAACTCCTCTGCAGGAGATGTGAAGGAAAGAGCGCTGGTGGAGTCTCATCCCTGTGCCTGGTGTGCAGTGGTTGACCCTAGTTGTTGTCCCACTTGGGTTCGGATTGGACTCTTTTGCCTAGGTTATGCTTTCAGTGTGTGGATGTAAGCTTGACAAATGTAGGGTTTGAGCTTTCCCATCAGACAGATTCTGAATATTCAAACTCAGAATCTTCACTGTGTTTTCCTCAGTCACGGTAACTGATTTTATTTACTCTGATGTGTTTTAGGTCAGCAAAATTCTGCCAGGACACTTAAAATCTATATATCTGCTCTTTTTTTCCCTACTCCTTGCTATTTTTGAATACTACGTTAGAGTAGATTTGCTTTCATATTGATCTTTCTAGAACCACTGTTCAGTTATTTCTGAAGTCTTAAACTTACTGAGGTTGAAAGTTGGTTTTATATGATGCAGGGTTTGTTTAGCTGCATTAAAACAAATACTGAAGTGCTACCCGTTCTTTTGTCCTTGCATGTTACATGATCCTCGCTGCTTTCATAACCTATTAGGTTTTCTGTCTGTCTGATGAAACTGTTTCCACAGTTAATGTGGTTTGTTTTTTTTTTTTGCTTTCAGTTTCCTTTCCTCAGTATACTGCTGCTTGTTTTTACTAATGTTTTATTTCACTTACATGCAGTTCTGTTCTAGGCCCTTCACTATTTCAAGACCACTTCAAAAGATATATCTGAAGAAATGTCTCTGATAATTTCTGAAGTGCAATCCTGTTCTAGGCGTCATAAATTATTGAAATAAAGTAAATATTTTAGCACACATTTTCCTACAGTAGGCGTCTTTACTTCCTACCCCTTCCTGAGCTTGGAGAAACCCTGTTGATCATGCTTTGTGATACATCCTGCAAGTCATCTTTAACATTTTCTGTCATGATTTACAAGACCATAAAGAAATAATAGTCTGAGCATCCCTGTTGATTTTATTTTATTCTATAAGAAAGTATTGACTGTACAATGAATAGTTTCCTGTTTGTTTGCAAGCAAGAATTGGCACAAATTTATTACATGAGTTTAAAAATTCAGTCATTCTGTTAGCTTGTGACAGATTGCCTTATTGAATTAGTTGAACATGTCATACAAGTGTGTTTCTCAGAGTAATGAGTTTATTATAGTTCCAAACATGTTAATGGTATGTCTTGAAAGTAGCTGTTTTTGCATTGGTATCCATTTTCCCACCTCAGCATTATATTTTGTTGGCATTAGGGTACATCTTAGTCAGTTTAACACGTTTCCCAGCCCTGTTTCCCTCTAAAATGTTCTTTTGGGTTTTGGTTTGGTTTGGTTTGGTTTGGTTTTTTCCAAATAATATGCTACCTCATCCAAAAATCTGAAGCTAACTGAGGAGTTGTTTCTGTGTGTCTGTATTGTCTATCTCTTCAGTCAGTGATTAGTAGAGTAATCATGAAGAGTTGTATTTGCTATGTACTACAATAATGGAGCTTTATGTGGTTTCTCCAAAGTCCAGCATTTGGACTATAATCGTGTAAGATGTGATTGCTCCAGCTTTTGTTTTTAAGGCTTTTTTTTTATAAGACTTATGTTGGAAACCCTGCAAAATCTTGCTTTAGATTATGCCAATGCAAACTCAGGACTTAAAGCTTGTATTGCATTATGGGCAAAATGTGTGTTGCCCACGCTATGCATCGCTGCCGTTAGGCTGTTTCAGGGCTTGGTGGAGTGCTGAGTGCCTGGAGGCCGGCCAGGGAGTGACTTCTCCAAACCCAAGTGCAGCTCACGTGAAAAATGAGTTGAGGCTTACCGAAGCAGATGAGTGAGTTGCACTTGGCAGGATATGCTGTAAATGCATTTTCACAAATCCAGGTTGTCTGAGAAAGCATGTGAGGTACTGAAAAGTGGCATAATTCAGATAATGGAGATCTAGCCCTTAGGCTTCTACGTTTTAAGACCAGTTTGACTGGTTAAAGTGCAGAAAGGAAGTACTGCTGTGTAAAATACGCACTCGGATGGAAAAAGAATATAAAGCTGGAAGCACAGGTCACTTTACTTCTACAGCATCAGGATGTCAGATGCACTAAATGACTTTTACCATTCAGCTATAAAAGCCTTTTTAAAGGAAATGAAGAGTATGGAATTTTTCTGATGAAAGTTAACTGAAGTGTGGGGGTTTTTGTTTTGTTTTTTAGCATCCACAAATCTGATTTAACATTTATGAGACCTTTTGTACAACTGAAAATGTAAGGTTGTTAGTAAATCAAGCAAAGGTAAACTTTTTGGACTTGTGTTAACAATTAGAGGGGTAATATCTGTATTGTATTCATCTGTGTTTTTACAGTACTCAAAAGGCACACATCTCTTGGCTGGTGTTATGTGTTGACAACAATATCACTGCATTTGGGATGAAAGTATTTGTTTATGTACTTGTCAAAAGTGACAAGTTGATGAAAAATAACCTTTTCTAGTACAAGGATGAATGGCTTTGCATTAGTCAAGAAAGCTTCTTTCCTAAGGCTAATTAGCCTGTAATTATTTAAAGCAGTCTTGTCTTGCTCAGCACAGTTTTGGGACTGTTTGCACAAATGTTCTTCTCGCCTGAATAAGATTGTCACTGGAATCTTGTCAAAGATCGAGGTGGGGGAAGAAGAGGTGGAGGAGCAGAGGTATAACTCTTAGGTCCTTTTGATGTGTTTTAGAATCCCAAGAGCAGCCACTGAATGCTTGTTTAGGACTTGTGTAGCGGGTGTTGTCTATGGGACTCCTGTTGGGGTTAACACTGATACTAGGGATGGACTGAGGTTAATCCAGTGCCCTTTCCTCCATGCACACCAGCCTTCCTGATTACCTCCTCCTTCCTCTTGTGCCCCTTGTATCCTGTTCAGCTGTTTTGCTCATAAGGAGCATCAGGATGACAGATAAGCTTTTGAATTTCTCTGTAAGGATGAGAAGGGGACTTTTTCTGGGTTACACATATACTGATGTGTCAGCTCAGGTGAGAGGGGGTACAAATTGCCACTGAATTACCCAAGACCATGCAGCCTGTCAGTACCTGAAGTTTGTCTGCCTTAACTTTTTCATTTGTTTATGAAATTTCCTGCCCATGTGTCCAAGCTATTCCAAATGAATATGTACTCTGACTTTTTTTTATCTGTCCATTTGTTTTTTTCCTTTTTATTCACTATATCACAAGCCTAGGGTTAGTGCATTTGTATTATGACTGGTTTCTGTATAGTCTTGACTTAAAAATTATATAGAATGTTCTTATTTTAGAAAAAGAAAGGAAGAAAGGATAACTGCATTTTACAAGTTAAATGCAGTTAATTTAAAACTGCATTTTACATCCACCCTTTTGGATGAAGGGGCTCCATCTGGATGGAAGAGTGAAACCAAGTAGTAGGAGAAAGCCCAAATGCAGCCTCCACTGAGAATTCCTTTGAGTGACAGAAGTTTGTCTTTCTACAGAATGCAGCCTGTTCCTGCAATTTTTTATTTCTTCAGTTTGCTATTAGAGCATTTGCATATATTATTATGCAATAGCTGGATTAAAAGAACAGGAACAAGGATCCTATTATTCTAGATGCTGTATGTATGATAGCCCTGACCCTGCTGTTAGTTTGGTGTGGGAACTTTAAAGCACAGGGAGCTCTACTTAAAAGCTGGAGAGACTTTTTGCATTCTGCAATACCTTCCTGAACTGGGTTTACAGATAAGTAACCAATCCTTGCAACCCATTAGCAGTTGATCAGATGAAGTGACTTTGTTTGAAATTCTTTTTTGGAAAAGAAAGTGATCAGAGTGCATTGTTTTACTATTTTAAGTTTTGTTTCTTCATTTAAAAAAAAGACATAATAAAGTACATCCTAACAGCTTAATACATAAGTCAGCAACTTGTTTCAAGTCTATGATTATGCAAACTATTTCTAGAAATTCTCTTTTGGGTAGAGAATATTAATCTATATACATTTAGGCTTCTAATTTTCACATCTGTGATGTGTATCTTTGAACTTATTCTCATGTGTCTGGGATTTAAAATGGGCAGAACTAAAATTAGAGTTGAAGTAATTGTCAGCATATTGTGGAACATAATGTACCACACTTTTATCTCTGCGGTGGAAGAAGACCTCTTTGTATTGGTATAACTGCCTGAGAAGACAGTAGGCATCATCGCTTGCCTCTGATGCTAAGAAAGCTGAGAATTCAAAGATGCCATGGAACTCTTTAATGTATGACTGCCCCTTAGAGGAAATTTGATGTGTAGTCCAGTTGCAGTGATTGTACTGTACTCATTTTAGCCACCACTGTAAAAATGAAGCCTGTTTCTCCTAAGTCAAATCGTTAACTGCACATACTATGCTGATAAATTGTGACATGTGAAAGTATAGAATTGCATTAAAAATATATGTTTGCAGTAGTACATAGTGGAATAGCATGTCTGTGCTGCTCAATACAGGAACAGGAATGGAGGCCCTGTGCTGTAACAGTTTCTTTGCTGTCATTGGGGTAAGTTCATGTGGGTGGGATTTACTTTGTTTTAGAAGAAAGAACATGTTTCTTCATTGGAAATAATGTTGTACCTATAACTTCTGTCTTATATGGTATTATCTGAGATTTTTATGATTGTGACTGCCAACTTGCATTGCCTTGACTTTTAGGCGACTTGTATTTTCATGAATGAGCAAGGAACCTACTCACACCAACCTAACTTGCAAGACAGATAGGGCCTTTCTGCTAGCATAGGGTATGACTGAAATGGAGTTATTCTTTTGTCAACTCACTGAAAACTTCCATGACTTGTTTCATTTTTGAACGAGGTTCTGCAACCAAAAATGTAGGATTTTTTAAATCAGTGTTAACTTCTTCAGTAAAGTTGTATTTTTCTTTTGAGGAGTTCTGCCAATTTTTTATCTCTTGGTCAGGTACGACTGGTAAAGCGTCATCTCCACCACCTGTAATAGACACAAGACAGATGAGTGAGAAGCTGGAGACGATACTCTATCAGCTCCGTCAGGTAACTCGTGAGAGGGATGAGCTGCGCAAGCGACTTGCACTTTCATCTCCTGGATCAACTTTTGATGACTGCAGGTAAAAATAAGACATGTAACATTTTAATGTAGTCCTCAGTACTGTTTATCTGTGCCTTGTCTCCTGGTTGCCTGGAGATGGCACAGGAGCATCAGGATGCTGCAGGGTATGTGTGTTGCTTGTAACCTACCTGCATCCTGGTGATGTGTGTGTACAGAGGTGACCACATTCACGTTTCAGAGTTGCCTGTTGAATGTCTCTTCCCACTTTCTCCAGCAATTTTGCTGTGGGAATGAGGGGACTAGGGCGCATCTATATGTTGAAAGAAGAAAGCAAACAAGTTTTTTAGGCTTCCTGGGTTATGTTGTGGGCAGAGGAAGAAGACAGTGTCTGAAGCACCTGCTGTTTTGAAAGGAAGAGAGAAGAAAGGGCAATAGCTCTGAATACTTGGCTGGATCACACAAATTAGGAGAGGCAAAAAAAACCATCTAAGCTGTTTTTGTGCTGCTGCAAGTAGAGAGGGCTTTGGACTTCTGTTGAGGGAAGCTGTTTTTAGGAGATCCACTTTCTGGTATATGTAGATCGAGGGGCTGTGTAGCATTAACAGGTTGAGAGTAAGGAACTCCTGAGAAGTTATGGGTGCTGCCAAATTAAAATAATGTGTTCGAAGTCACTTAATGTCCAGCAGCCTTATGCAGCTCATTCTAATGTGATGGTTGATAAGTTATGAGGAAGACTCACGGATTGTATGAGTTAATTGTAGATAAGGGCTTTATTGGGTAGGAAACAGAGTTGGTTTAATTTAGAGGGTTAAAGATCTGCTAATATTTAGATGTGTGACTTTGGACGCACTTGGCAGGTACATTTTGCCTGCACTAGGCATGTGTAAGAGAAAGTTTTTGAACCTTGGAAAAAATTGTCTGTCACTGAATCTGAAATAAGAACAAAGAACAGATTTTCTGGGAGGTGTTGCCATGATGCATAGCTTCTCTGAACTGGAACGTTTTATTTCTCGTTGTTTGTATCTGTTGCTTCATCAGCTCCATCTGTATTTGAACCAGTGAACTGGATTGGAGAATCTGGGCATTATATTCACTCCAGCTGCCAGTGTAGTATTGTATATTGTGGAAAATACTAATTTTTACAGCTTCAAGAACCACTCATCAAAATAAACATTGCATTTGGGCAGTGCTTGGACAGTGTGTGTTAGTTAGATGGAGGATGCTGCCTTCCAAACAATTAAATGCTTAAGGGGTGGAAATTAATGAAGATTACTAGCTGACATTTTTTTCCTTTTATATAAAAGTGACTACTCCTCCCATCCACATACAGATCTATGGTTTCTGGAAGCTTGCTGGTGTTTTTTTTGTTGGTGTGTTTTTTTTTTTTAATTATTATTTTGTAATGTATTCTTTCCTTGTATAAAACTAATCTTCAGGCTTCCATCAGTCAGAGCCCAGACGTTGCAGTTGTGCTGAAATGTGAAAGCTGAAAGATCATTATTTAGATCATTACTTTTATGACCCAAAAAGGGCTTTTGCTTTCCTGGCTGTGTATGCTGCTTTAAGCATGGCTGTACCAAACACAGGTAGTGTAGAGATGAATCTTGACACGTCACGATGACATGCTTCCAAACAGTTGGAGCTTACAGTAGGCTGGGCTGTGCGGGCTGTGAAGGCTGGCGGTTGCAAAACCAAGAGCTGTTTTCCAGAGCAAGTGTTGACTAAGTCTAGAGCAGTGGAAGAGGAGCCACAGTGGTGGATTGTGATGTGCTGAATCAGATGAACATGTGTCATCCTGCTGGACAGGAGTAGGATTGCTCATGCTGTGCTTGCGTCACTTGACAGTGACTCTATGTGTGCATGTGTTGTGGTGACTAAGCAAAGATTGTGACCAAATAATTTTGTGTGCTCAAGGTGCGATTCATAGACTTAAATTTGCTCTGCTTACTACTTATTCAGTAACTGCAATACCAATAAAGCCCCTGAAAACTGCCTTTGAGAAGAGACTGTTTTATGTATAATCTGTAATTGTTGTTGTTGTGGGTGGAATTGCAATAGCAAATGAGAACATTTTAAAGTTATTAGGTAGGTATTGCTTACCAAGCTGGATCTGCCACTGGCATTACCTGTTGTGTCAGCATCGGATACATGTAAATGTCAGTCTCACTGTGGCCATGAGTTCCGCTCAGGGTAATTCCCCTGGAATACAAAGGGTTTTGAGGGTTGTTATATGAATATCAGATAAACAGTTGGAGCTTCAACACTAGCATTTTAAAAATTGCTAATGTTTGATCCAGTGCTTCCAAAATAGTAGCTGACACCTTTCCTTTATTGAAATCTTTTGGTTGGTTGGTTTTTGAGGCATTTTAGCATGAAACTGTGTTGGTCTTCCTTAAGCAAGGGTCAACCACTACATGCATATGAATGGACTGTTTTGTTACTCATTTTTTTTACTTCTGACCAATATTCCTCCTGTGCATATCCTTTTTTTTTTTTTTTTTTTTCTTGCTGAGGCATAAACCTCTGGAACAGCACTGTGGAACATACGGCCTTGGCTATCCTGATGTTTATTTCATATATATGAGCTAGAATGCAGGACGTTACTGGTGGCATTATTGTTCCTTCCTCACTGTGTAGGCAGGCTAACTTCTGTAGTTACCTACATGGTATCCATGTTTATAGGATTTTTATTATTTATGAGTAATGCTAGTGTTACTTCAGCATTATATGAAATATATGTGCTTGATGTTAGACTTGTAGAACAAGTTCTCACCGTAGCTTTGAGACTGACCTAATAGTTATCCTCTAGTAAAAATTCGTACACTGAAATATATTCCATGAATATAGATTCATGATTACAAGCTTAATATGAACATGTGTTAATGGGTCTGAGTTAGCTTAACGCTTCAACTGAGAGTTAAACTGTGCTTTAATAGATGCTGTCATTTTAATGACTGTGGTAGACAGATGGTGTCTATGCTCAATAATTTCACCCTAAAGTCTAATTTAAATCAATACTTGTGGTTTTAGTGATTCTGTCAAGGGTGTGAACATTGCAAAGTGAGTTTTAGTTATGCTAACTAGGGTAGTATTTTAAAAGAATAACACCACAGTAATTGCGGTAATACGTCTGTAACACTGTATGAGTCATGTACTACTACTTCTGGCACCCCTAAACAGTGAATTAAAAAAAAGCGAACTACAAGACATCCCTGTATATGTGACTTGAATGTTTAATGTCTTTATATGAATTTGGCTTTTAATTGTTGCTGAAGTCTGCCAGTCAAAGAAAGGTTTTTTGGTTTTGTTGTCCTGTGGAGCACTTTTCTGGATAAAGGAGAAAAAGAGGAATTACAATTGAAGGCCTTATTGCTCAGGAACCCAAATACAACAGGGTTGCTAAAAAAGCCTCCTGCATGTCACATGCTCCCTAAAAGTCTCTGAATCAGATGTGGCAGGCTTTTTTTTTTTTTTTTTAAATCTCACCACTGCAGCAGTGTGAAACCATTCGCATTTCGATTCAATTACCAGCTGCATTTCAGTTCCAGAACCTGTGTTACTGTTTTTTGTGTGAAGCCAAGAGAATTCTGATTGTTTTTCAGGCTGCGCTTACAGTGAAGCCATTTGGGAGAGAGAGCGGTGGGAGGGAGGAAGGGTGTTCTGTGCAACAACAGAGCAAATCTGGTATGAGGCTAAAGAGAGTGAAATTAGAATGCAATTGTTTTCTTTTGGGTCGTGGTGGTTTTGTTTTTTTTTCATTGTCTGTGGAGTTACAAGAGACCCAGGAGATGACACAGGGACATCTGTCAGAAGCTTCATTTTCAAACTGGAAAATTCAATGGTGCAGAAATTTTGTGACTGTAGAGGAGGAACAGTTTAATTTAGAGTCTCTTAGAAGCTTAGTGCTTCAAAACAAGAAGACATAATACTGCTAATCTGGTTTTTAGCATGATTTATGATTTTTCTAATAAATAAAGGTATCGTGTGCAGTGACTGCACGTTCTAGACATACTCTGTGTTGGTCAATTGCTTGACAAGGTAGATTATTTTATGAATTTTCTTCTTTCCCAATCTTCCTGATATACTTAAAACATTACAGTCAAAAATATTTTTTTGACTGACTGTGGCTTTCACTTTGTTCAATTTACTGAAAATTGCTTATTGGAGATTATATTGTGTTGGATATTCTGGATTATTTGAACAAAATTTGGGTTATGTTATGGAAGTGAGAGGTAGATTCTGATATGTTTTCTCATTTATTTGAAGTAGTTAAAAAGAACAGGGCAACACACAATCAGATATGTAAATCAGGTGAATGACCTGGTCAAATCAGTTAAATTCAATGATCAGTCAGTCAAACTAGTCAAATTCTGCCGGCACAGATGCATGTGTTTGTCCCATTGACATTCGTTCTCTCAGCCCTAACACTCATTTTCCTAAGGAGGTATAGGCAGGGTCATACAGCCACTGCCTAGATGAGGTTTTCCCTAGCCCAGGTCTCCATGCAGCCCCCCCTTGACTTTGGCAGCCTCTTTTCAGCTCTACTCTTAGTGTAGCTCTGCTTTTTCTTTGTGAGTTTTGACAGGGTAGCACAGGAGTATACTGTGATTGACTTGTTCTTGTATCAAGTGACAGTTCTGCTCTGTGGTAATACAGCTGTTCAGAAGAGAGCTACACGAACACTCAGGAATATTTTTGGCTGTGTTAATGTTAGATGGAATTATCTCAATATTAGATGTTACATCTCAATATAAAACTAACACAGGTTAAAGTCAGTGAATTTTTATTTGTGGTTGCATCTTAATGTGAAGTGCCCAGTGTTTAAATTAAAGCATAATATAATCTAAGTATTAAGATTTCTGTGATACTGTCTATTTATTGGACAGTAATTTTCCAGATGTCTCATTCTCTTGAGTAGCTGATCTTCAACTTCATATTCTTTTTCGATCCTAGGCCTAGTCCAAAACCAAATCATGATTATGAAAGACTGAAGATTCAGTGCATGAAGGCCATGTCAGACCTACAGTCTCTGCAGAATCAACACACCAAGACACTGAAGAGGTGTGAAGAAGCAGCAAAAGAGGCAGACTTTTATCAGTAAGTATTAGTAAAGCTGTATGAGGTGCAATTTTACCAGTCTCTGCTAGATTACAAAGAGGTTCTGTTTTTGGATTTGCCATGAGAATAGTACTGATAAGGTAGTTTTTAGTTGGTGCTGGGGAGTGCTTGCACCAAATTCAAGGTCTTTCTCAGCTTCTGATACTGCAGCTGTGTTCCCAACTTTCTCATCACAAGCTGGAGGTGGGGCTAGAACAGGGAAGACACACACAGCTTTCAGACAGCTAACCCAAACTAACCAAAGGAATATTTTGTTCCATAGCACATCATGTTCAGTATATAAGCCAGGAGTGGGCTGGGGGGGCCATAGCTCCTTTGCTACCTTGCTTGTTCGTAAGTTAGCTTGATCATTTAGCTTGTTTGTTCGTGTGTGCATTTGTTAGTGAGTCAGTAGGGTCAGTTGCCTTTCTCAGTTGTGCTCACGCTCGTGGGGCTCTCCAGCTTTGCTGTGACTGCTCTCTGACTCTGGCTACTCGGGACCTGTCTGTGTATCGTTTAGCAGGGGGTGAGCAATTGTATCATATGTTTTATATTATTTTAATTACATGTTATTAATAACATTGTTAGTATTACTAGCATTGCTATAATATTCATTTATATTCAGTTATTAAATTATTCTTGTCTCAGATCACAGGCTTCCTTGTCTTTTCCTCTGCTGCTTCTCCTCTGCTGGAGAAGGAGAGAGGGGGTGAGCAAGTGGCTACGTGGTAGTTCATTGCTAGTGGAGGTTAAACCACGACATTGTGGTTTGTTTGTTTGCTTTTAAAACAAAACTAACAAAAATCTTTTTGTATGCTATTCATCTGTATTTTGGTTAGCTGCTGCCTAGCCAAGCGGTCCAAGAGAAAGTGGAGGTGATTAATGGGATAATTTCTGTTATCTCCAGGACCATCTTATGCTCTGATTAAACAATTTCTGTTTGTCTACCAACTTGCTTTTAAAATGGGTATGAAAAGGTGTTGATGGCTGACATAAATCCATCATCTCTTTTGATGCTGTTTGAGTACTGTGTGCGTTCATATATTTTCATATTTATGGCCCTGTTTCTGATCCCCACCCCCCGCTCTCCTGTGCTTGGAATAATCAAATAAGCAAAATTGAGTTAGTTTGACCTGCTTTCTTGGTCAGAAACTCATGCTGGAAATGAATTAGTCCTGGACTTTGTCCAGGCAAGTTGGCCTCTAAGAGTGTTTTTTCTGTGCCGTGACAGCACGTTGCACAGTCGGCTGCTGAGTGACCAGTCACAGCTGAAGGAGGACATGGATACCTTGAAGAGGAAAAACACGCAGTTGGTGCGAGAACATAATCATCTCCAGCAGTCGTGTGAGGAAATGAAGAGGCTTCACGATGAGGATCAGAAAGAGATAACGGACCTGCGCAGCCAGCAGCAGCAGGTAAGCTACAGCTTGTAGTGTATGTGCTAGAAGAGATCATGAATTATTTCTTTGGTAAATAAGTCAGTAAAACCGAACGTGCAGCACTGCTTCCTTATGTCTTAACAATTTTGAAACATCCACCTTAAATTTTACAGCACTAGTGGAGAAAATGAGATCTTGGATACTACCTGATTTTCAGTGTCTAGCTGGGAAAAAGAACGAGGGCAGTAGAATATTAGGTAGTAATAAGAAATTTTGATGCAGAGATGAAAGAAAATGTACATGAGGAAGATTGTATATGCATGATATTTTTCTAAGTGGGTGGAGAGGCATCAAAAAACCTAGCCTGAAGCTGCAAAGTGATTAAAAGGATGACTCTTTTCCTAGGGTATTTTATGGGACAGGCCTAGCTTTAAACTTGCATGCAATGTTCATGTTTTGGAAAGAATCACAATAAAAGTGAGTGGCAGAGATGGGTTTGTTTTTTTTGAGTGGTTGGGTTTTTAGTTCTTTCCTTCTGCTTTCCTTTTATTTTTTTAATTATTCTAATGACACCATAAAGGTTAGGGAGATTACTGAGCTAAGTTTGGTTATTTAGGTTAGCAGACACTATTCAGTTAGAACAAAGCTACTGGTCCATTAATGTTTTTGAACTTGAAACAAAAAAAGACAAGCTTTTCAGGACTGGAAGAGGTGTATGTTTCAGAACTGTTTGACAGGCTGTTTTCAGGCCAATGTTGTTCACATGTCCTGAAGAAAGACAAGCAAGAGTAACATAAGGAGCAACTGGTCACCTCAAGTCCATGGTTCCCCTATGGAAAAGTCATTTAGTTAGAGCAACAGTTACAGTAACATGTGGAATGGTGGAAGAGGATATCTCAGTTCTGTGTGTAGGCTGATTCACAGGGCAGGCAAACTTGCAAGTCAAACATTAGGCTTCAGAAGCAAAACCTATGCAAACAAAAATAATTTTTTGCTAGGGTAGGAGGGGCAAAGGTCAAAGCAAACTGGTTGTGCTGAATAGCACTTTAGGAGGTGCTTGAGAGCTGGTGCAAAGAAGAGTGAGGATTTGTATTGCCTTTTGTTCCCTTCCTCTAACACTGTCTTGAGAGTTCTGCTGTGAAATGCTTTAGGGCCTTTGTTCAGAAGATGGCAGAGTTGACTTGCTGTGTACACGCGGGCAAATCACTTAATTGCTCTGTGCCTCAGTTTCCCAGTCTGCAAAGCAGAGATATAAAACCTCCAAGAGCAGGACATGATGTTTTGAGGTTCAGTCCTCAAGTTTGAAATGACCTGGCAGAACAGAAGGATGCTGAGGTACCATTGTCAGCATTTTAAAAAAGCAATTCAGTCTCGTGTCAACATCATGATTGACCCTTTAAGGAAAGTGATGTATGTGTCTCTCTGTGAGAAAGTTGTGTAACTCCGTTTCTCAGCATGTCAGTGTGAATCACGGTGTCTTGAAGGTGTGCCAAGGGTCCTATCTTGTCAGTGTCATTTCTCGTCTGAGTTAGTCTAACTCTGTGTGGATCCCTCTGATGTGTTGTTTCGTTGTCAGGCCGTAGCAAAACAAGAGTATCTTGGTGGCCTCAGAGAGCAAAAACTATGGATGGGATTACTCTTCCTGTGGTATTGTCCTGGATTTGCTATGTAGCAGCTGACCAGCTTAAGTTTCTGCTGCTCACATAAGAAGTTTCTTGTTGCCATGGCTCTCTCGCTTGGTCCAGCTGGGACTATTTACTTTTTCTCAGAGTGGGATTTTGAATGAGAGACCTTCCTTATTACAGTGCTTCCTGTTTATGGCATTTCTGGCTTCCTCCATCAGATCTCTGTTAGCAAGTTTGTGCTGAATTTCATCCCATTTCTAGTATATTTTTCCTTCTTTAATTATTTAGTATATTTTCAGCAAAAAGACATTCCATATGTGCTTTTGCCAGTGTCAAGTGGTTTGTTTCTGTTTGGATTCTCAAATATGTGATTCTGAGACATGTTCTCAAAATGCTTTGTGAAGTAGTCTTCAGCAAAATGGCTCTTTTGAGCAGTTTTAAATGAGCGTGTGTTTAGATATGCCTACAGTTTATCACGTTTAACCTATCTGAAATGGTTCACTGAAGCATGCTACCTAATCACGGGTCTAACTCTGTGCGGGTTCTGCTGCTGAATCCACTGAGGATGGGGATGTATGTGGAAATAGCCATGCCAGTGAGACTCTCACCGAAGTGCAGCCTTATTCCAGGACTGCTTTTATGAACAGTAACTTTCTGCTTTTACATATCTTGGTTAGTTCAAGGACACCAGTGTCAGGCTGAAGAACTCTGTGTCTTTTGCCTTGCCTACTTAGAGAACTGGTTTCCTGACAGTTACGGTTGTTTTCCACTACGTATGGGCAGTGAGCAGCTGGCAAAGAGCAGGCGGTTTCCTTTCCTTTTTGTCTGCAGTCATCCAGGTTCTGTGTTCAGGAACAGGCCCATACTCTGAATATAAGACACAGAAGAAGATGGGGAAACAGTCTGTGCATGCAGGGTAGTTGCCATGTGTTTTGTTTCAATGTCTTATAGATGTTTTATATGTTTCATGTTTTCTGTCCATTTTTTCCTTCAAATTTTTAAAAAATTTTTGTTTTCAGATAGCTAGAGTCATACCTTTGTAGGTTAACATTGATTATAAATTCCTGGCATCTCTCTAGATAGAACATTCCTTTTTATTCCCACCACTCCATCAGGGCCAAATTTCAATTTAAAATACAAAAATAGAAAAAAATAAGAATAGCCTTAAAAAAAAAAAGGGACGGGGGGGAGAGGAGGAGGAGGTAAAGCTTCATTTCAGGCACAGTTTTTGCCTTTTGAGAAAGAAGAAGGACCAGATTTGCTGAAGCTCATTAGGGGCTTTCTGTTGTTGTTTCTGGTCATTTATCATCAACATTGCTATTTACAACAAGATTCTTATTGTCTATAGAAATTCATTTGTAACTACGATTCAGGTCAGGCTTTAAAATGGAGTTTTCTCTTCCTGTTCATATTTTATGGATATCTTTTGAAACACAAATCTCTGTGGATAGTTCTCAGATGCAATACTACATGAATATTAAAATACATGCCTGTGTGCATTAACATATTTAGCATGGATTTTGTTCTCTTGAAGTTTTAAATTATTTAATTTGTTCA